CCTCGGTGAAATTTGTGGAGAGCTTGTATGTCCTTATCCACCTGGTATTCCAGTGCTAATTCCTGGTGAGATCATCACAGAAAGAGCGTTGAGTTATCTCCTGGAGATCAGGAGCAAGGGTGCTGTTATTACTGGAGCAGCTGATTGCTCCCTATCATCTTTTGTTGTATGTGTTACCTAAGCAATTCTTCAGCAAGAATCCTGGCATACAAAGGACAAAAGCAAGGATTTTGGTGTTAGATTAGCCTGCATTTGGCTATTGAGATCTTAACCTTTCCTCTACTGCAGCGTCTTTCCTGTACTGCAACCAGCACTTTTGGGTATAGTTTGGAGGTCAAAGCAACTTCTTTATTGGTAACTCAAAGGCAGCTCAATAAAACTTGTTTTTCGGACAGTCCTACTTGGAGTTTGTCTTTCATAAAGACTAGAGTCTCTTATGTTTGACAGGAGTTGTCCCTGATGCTCCTCGAAACAATGATTGCTGGGTTCCCGCAGTCTTCTTTTCCTCATTCTATGTTTTACTATGGTCAAAGGAATGTGGATATATTTATATATCAGCAGCAAGAGCTAGGACTATATTGGGGAGGGGCAACACAATGCTCCCCATCAAACTGGACAATTGCCGTACAGGAGGCTGAAGCAAGAGAAATACCGACAAGTTATTTCTCATGAGATAGTGTTGGTTCTTGATAAAAGAAACTAAGGAAAATAACAGAAGGGAAGATGACAAGAAAATAAAAGAAATATGCAAAATAGATGTAAAAAGAAATCTAAAGAACTAAATCTGAAAAATTTATATTATTTCACTGCATTTGGACTACAACTTATAAGATAAATGTCAACTTAAAAGACCTAAAAATCATCACAAAATTTGCTTAAAATAACAAACTCCTAGAGACTAGTTCACTCCTAAAGACTAGTTTAAAATTGTTTCAAATTCAAAATAAATTACTGTAGTAAATAACTCTTAAGCTGAAACAGTAAAATAATTTAACTATTTTTCAGCTTCTAAAGCATATTTCTAACACTCCTCCTTGCTTTTGAAGCTGCAAATTTTGAATTTATGCCTTGTAAATCTTTAACTGGAAGCGACTTTGTACGTAAATCTGCCAACTGCCAACTGATCGTTGGACTTGCAGTAAATTGAGTTCACTTTTTTATTTTGCTGCATCTCATGATTGTCAATGAAATAAGTTGGCTCTTTTTTCCGGCTTCATTTGCATTTTGCCTTGAGGCTTGTCAACTTTCTTCCAGATTTGCATTTTGCCTTGAGGCTTGTCAACTTTCTTCCAAATTTTGTTTTTCTGAAATATTGACAACTTTTTCTTTGCCTCATTTTCACATATGTCCTCATTTGGAGGATTATGTGCACTTTGTAGATTCTTATGGCTCATTTTTCATCTCCTGTTGGATATAATGAGAAGTTTTTATCTCTCATTTTAACCCTTAAAATCTCAAGTCCAGTTGCATCATAAATGTAACAATGTTTATCTTCAAAGGACAATTTAAATCATTTTTCCATTAGTTTTCTAACACTCAATAAATTTTGATCAATATCAGGAATATAAAGAACATCTGAAATTTTCTTAGTACCTGACTTTGTTGGGATTGTAACAGTTCCTTTTCCCGTAGCAAGAATATAATCACCATTCCCAATTCTGACTTTCTTATTTCCCATAGACGTGAATTCTTTAAAAAAAATTCTATCATATGTCACGTGGTTTGTACAACCACTATCAATCATCCAAAAATCAGATTTTTTGGTTGAAAGAAAAGTTGCCACAAACAAGTGATCTTCATCTTCATTGACGACTTGGGCATCTGCTTCATGCTTTTGATATTTGTCTTTGCAAATTACAGCTTCATGACCAAGTTGGTTGCAAATTTTGCACTTTGCATCTGGCCTCTTCCAACATTTGAGTGGTGGATGTCCTTTTTTTGCCACAATGCTGACAAGGTGAGTAATTTTTCTTTGCATTATTACCCTTGCTTTGAGTTTTATGGTTGGCTGCCAAGTCTCTTTCAACCATACCATCTTGCCTCATAAGCATCTTTTCTCTTGTGCCTGCAATGTATTTAACAATTTTGCCCAGGAATCTTGGATAGATCCTTTGTATTTTTCAAGGTAGTTATGGATATTTCATATTTTTCAAGCACTGTAACAAGAATTTTTTCAACAATTCTTGAATCTTTAAATTTAATACCAAACAATCTTACCTTGTTAACCATGCTAAGCAACCAATCTGAAAATTCTTTGACGGTATCAGATTTCTTCATTTTCTGCAACTCGAATTCCCTTAATAAAGTCAACTCCTTCATGCCTCGTATTCTTTAATCTCCTGTATATTCTCTCTTCAGATAATCCCAAATTTCTTTTGCTGATTTGAGAGCCATAACTCTCGTGAAAAATATTGGAGACACACCAGCAAACAAAGTTGCTTTCGCCTTTGATTTCTTGTTTTTTTTTTCCTTGTGGCTCTTGATTTGGGCCACAGTGGGATTGTTAGGCGACGGAAGAACATCAAACTCCTCTTCCACGGCCTCCTAAAGATCTGAAGCCTCCAAGTAAGTCTCCATTCTCACTGCCCACAGTTAGTAATTTTCACCATAAAAGACTGGAGGAGCCAATTGAGAAAAACTCGTTTCAGTTTCCATCTCACTCAAGAAATGTTTTTACTCAGGTCCCTTAAGAAGATGGCTCTGATACCAATTGTTGGTTCTTGATAAAAGAAACTAAGGTAAATAACAAGGGAAGATGACAAGAAAATAAAAGGAATATACGAAATAGATGTAAAGAAAAAAACTCTAAAGAACTGAAGCTGAAAATTCTATATTATTTCACTGCATCTGGACTACAATTTATAAGATAAATGCTAACTTAAAAGACCTAAAAATCAACACAATATCTGCTGCAAACAACAAACTCCTAGAGACTAGTTCACTCCTAAAAACTAGTTCAAAATTATTTCAAATTCAAAAATAAATTACCGCAGTAAATAACTTTTAAACTGAAACAGAAATAATTTTACTATTTTCAGCTTCTAAAGCATATTTCTGACGGATAGCATTTCCATTTGCATTCTCTTCTTTGTTATTTTCCCGTCTTGTGGGGTCTTTTAGCTTTTTGGCTTATAAGTGTTAGTTAATTAATCTTGATAGGAGTGAATGACGGATTTATTTGAAGAGGTGGAACAGTGAGAATATGTAACAAAGCACATCTCTTTTCTTATCTGCACCTTGTACACTGGACAATTGCAACAGTATGATAACTTTGAAAATGGTATAATTGTTGGACTCTTGTTGTGGAAAGATGGTACTTTTGAGGGCTAAATACTTGAAGATTAAAGTTTTCATGTACTTTGTTTTTGCTCTCTTTTATCTTGGTGGTGCTATACCGTCTGATAGAAGTATGGCCAATTTTCAGCATTTCTGTTAGAATTGGAACAAAAGGAGGATAGTCTTGAAAATAAAGTTAGAAATAGAAGATGAAAATAAAGAAAGGATTCAAATAATGCAACTTTGGAACTTCTTAAAACACCCCCACTCCCCCACTATAGCATGTTTAGCCGAGCTTTTAAAATTTGATTATTTTGAAAAGTTTTTTTTTAAAAGTGCTTTTCAAAAAATTACTTTTGGTGAAAAGCAATTTGTGTTTGGCTAATTAATTTAAAAATACTTTTGAGCAACAATTAATGTTTGACCAAATTTTTAAAAAGTGTTTCTAAGTTGTTGTTTCTAAGTGTATTTTTCTCAATATTATTTTCTTAACAAAGTACTATGGGGAGAAGTTACTCTTTTCTACTTCTCAAAAACTGTTTCTGCTTCTACTCTTTTTCTTCTAAAAGCTTCGCCAAATACCTTAACTTTGAAAAAAATAACAACAACAACAAACCCACTGTAATCCCACAAATGGGATCTGGGAAGAGTAGTGTATATGCAACTTTACGCCTACCTTGTGAAGATAAAGAGGATGTTTCCGATAAATCCTCGGCTTAGATAAAGCATAGTCACATCACAACTTTGGGGGGGAAATTATTTTTATTTAAAAAAAAGACACTTTGACTAAAAAGAAGCTTGGTCAACCGGTCTATTAGAGTGAAAAATGGTTAAACAATTATTATATATTTGGACATGTATTTATACCTATTAGAAGCTTGAATCTTCTGCTGAGTGTGAAAGTGTAAAAAATTGATAGAAAAAGGAATGAGTTTTAATATATTAAGAAAGTACATCCTATAATAATGAATATAGCACTCCTATTCAAGAGATGCCCATGCAAATTTTGCAAAATATGGAGAAAGAGAGAAGCAGTAGGTTAATGGCCAACAAAATTCCAACTTGATTGATATTCAAGATATCATTAAATTGCCCTTTTCCATCCTTGAAACCAACGCATAGTCCAAGTTATCACCTAACTTATTTGTTTCTTGGAACTCAGTGTCTTTCTTTTTAAAACATTTGGGCAAAGAGCAGCTCCAAAATACTTAACTTTAGTTCCAGTAGTGAAACGCTCGAGCTTGCCATAAAATGCCCTATATAAATAAATCACTAAGAGAAGTATACGGTGTTTTATGTGGTATAAATAATCTCAGAGGTAACAGGTAGTTTTGGAATAAAAGTGATTGTCTTTTGAGAGCTACAAACGTTATAGTGCATCTAGAAAAGGAAAGAATATAGAGCAGAGCACGTGCATGTCTAATTTGGTGGCCCTCCAATTATTACAAGTACAAAAATACAGATAAACAAACCACGGAAGCAGTTGGAATATAATACTAGTATTCAATCAAACTTAACTAGCATTCATCTTTCCCAACTCACAATTTGGTAAAAGAAGGGGGTAAAAAATGACAAGGCAAAAAGGCATATAGGTGAAAGTTTAGGAAACTAAAAAGTTTAAAAATCGAAAAAACAAAGGGGAAAAAGCTATGTCAAGGGGGGTTGAGTATGAAAATCACACAATGGATGAGCAAAATGAACCATGAATATCAGATTTCCAGCAATACCATAAAAAAAGTTACTATATTTCAACATAAAAAAGCATTCTTTCTGTTTTATAACAACATTTTCAGCTAACTTAACAAAGAACAAGTCTTAAAAGAGTATGTCTATATTCTGCTCATATCTCCTAGACTCAAACTACACCAACAACAGCCAGAAACCTCGGCATATAGCCATCAAAAAACCATGCTTTTTGGTCAACCAAGTTTGGTAAAAAACCCATAATCCTAGTTACAACAAGTTGCTTTGGGGCATCATAGACTCGTAAGCCCCAAAACAAAGAAGATGAAAATCATCGACTTTCACTTAGATAAATGAATCACTGTCGCCCATCAGTTTAGGTTTCTTTGGAGCGTTACCGTCCAGTACATCTAAAGAGGCTGTATCAGAAGGTGCAGACGGCCCGGGTCCACCAAGCAATAAACCTGTATTGCCATCTGGAGCGACCCATGAGATAGGATTAACTGTCACAACAATAGATATGCTTGTCAGTGGGGAGCACGAATTTTGAGCAGGTTGTAAGTGAAAATTCTAAAAAGAAGCTCAAGTAACTGGATAATAAAATTAGTATTTGGAGAATAAAAAGTGATCAGTTTATATTGATCAAGGACATACCAAAGTAGATCATGATATACAAAACTTAGTCACAAGGTTTTCAACTTAGAAATTAACAACACACCAGTCAATTTGTCCAACTTAACCAATTTTAATATTACAAGGTTGACAAAAGTATTGTTTACAGGCAAGGAGACAACAAGCTAGAACGCAACAAAGACTAAAATAGAGTAGAATGATGGATCGATGTTTTATTGATAGGTATAAAGGCTAACTGCAGAAAGGCAAGAACCACTAGTGAGTTATCCTTCTAGGATGTTAAGTAGATTATTACCCTAAGAGAAGTTCCCCATGATACCATTTTGGCATAAGAGCTCATATCATTTAGGATGTCCAGGTAGATTAAATATCTTTAGTCATATTCCCAATGATATCATTCTAGCAAAAAAGTTCTTATCTTAGAAGAGTTCGCTTCTGAATGTTGATTCATTATAAACAGATATATGAATCATAGAACACATTTAGAGGAGTATAACGGTATCCTAAAGGAAGAATATTTCTTCTTTTACCTTTCCTTTCCGGCAGCTTTTAGCCATGAAATTTGTGGTTTTCCCAAGCAGAAAAACTTATTACCATTCAATTGATACAAACACAAAAAACACGTAAAAGCATAGTTTTTTTCCAGGCATGTTGCATGCAAACATCATCATAATGCTAGATCTTATTTCTAATTTAAGCATGTCTTATACACATCCATACCATCAGAAGGACCATCACGTGAAGGTGCTGGACGACGCTTCTTAACATAGTCTTCCTGTAGAGGTCTTGGGATCTGAAATGAAAACTGTGACGTCTGTACACCTTGTGCCACATACTCCGGATGTTCCTCCAAGTGCCTGGGAAGAGAGAGCATTAAACAACACCCACAACAGAAATGCAAATGAAAACACATATTCCCTATTGTCAGTGCAAACAATTTAGAGCAGTCCAAGAAGACATGAGGAAAAGAAACACATTCTGCAAAGCCAGATCAACTTGATAAATTGAACATACTTTAGAACTTCAACCATGGAACGAAGTCTCTTGCCAGATGGCGAAACATAGTACCTGTAAATCATGACAAAGACAAAAAATTAAAGAACCGCGGCTTTTATTTTGCACATCAATGCCGAGTTTCATAGCTTAAAAGGAAAGCATCACTTGTATTTTAGTATTAACAGTAAAACGAGTAGTGAAAGAAATGCAAGACATACACATCAGCAAACTTGGTGCCTCCTTCTGCTCTGATTCTTAAAAGCCGTTCCCACCCTGGAGGAGGCTGAGCAATGTTAGGTCTATCAATTGCCCACAGCCTGCTTCCATCTTGAGTGATGTCAGGTGGATCATCACACGATACCTCCGGACGCCACTCACGAGCTGTTTCACAATAGAAGGGCTGCTCCAATATGTGTTCCCTTATTTCTTCATACTTCTCCTTTGTAGGTATGAGCCGCCATTTGAAACAGCTAGCACACTGCACAGTAAATGCCCCTACAGATGGCAAAACCCTAGATGTATAATT